ACCGCTTTCGTCGTGAAGCATATATCAATAGACTTCCTCTCTCAGAATGTCAGAAAATGACCACTGATGTGAAAGTGCTCAACAAGCTTACGGACGACGGATGGTATAAGATGGAGCAAGTTGGTTATTGCGTCAAGGGAAAGAACTGTGGAGCTACACAAGCACTCAGAGAGCTTCATATGAAGAAAAATCTTTGTGAGTTTATGCCATCGGTTCCTTTGCTACCTTCTAAGCGCTTAGAGAAATGTGAATTTTCTAGCGGACATCGTCTACACGTCGGATGATAGTGAGTTCGAAATGCTGAATAAGAATGTACACTATGCAGGCACAGGGACAGGCCCTTTGTGTTACTTATGGTAGTGGCCGTAATTTCATCTTTTGTTGTTATGAAACACTGCCACAAACTGTTTTTATTGTACAAATGGTAGATAAATCAGAGTAATAAATATTCCTGTTCTTTGGAGAAGTTCGTGACGCATTGTTCGCTGTCAGAAGATTATTTTATTTAGTTCACCGCTCAAGACACAATATATAGTCGAGTCGTTTGTGGCTCAGTCTGCCTACTGCACACTATGCGCGCTTCTTCACGACGTGTACGCTTGTTGTTGCCAGTTTCTCGAAAAGTTTCTTTTTTTTGTCTTAACCAAATTATTAATACATAGTAGTACACAATCGAACATTTCAAACGGCTTTCACTGAGGAGTTGGGGGCATAATCCACAAGGGGTTTTGAGCTTTTGACGTCACGCGATAGTGGGGCCTTCTATCTAGCCAATGCCCAAATCGGAGCTCAAAATTTCGCTTCGGCGAAAAAATTGCTCTGATAGCGAAAATGCATGAGGACCCCAAGTCGGCAACGCCCACCTCCAGTAATGCCCGCCCACCCGTGAATGCCCCGCCAATCACAGTTCTCCTCTACAACCCGCGGGTTCCACTAAAAGGGGATTGTCGGGCTTTTCGCAACTACTTCATATTCAAAGTCAGGGACACGAGAATGCCCCGAAACGGCAAAAACACGGAAGCCTACATAGAATCTCAGTGGACGGTGCCTTTGAAAGCTAAAAGTCACCGCACGCAGCTTGCGGGCTCACATATCAATACAAATGGTACAATACATACGTTTTAATTTCTCACTTGGTCAGTTGCTTGATTGGGGAAGCTACTTTTGGTATAACGCCAAAACCAAATCCCCGTTTTGACATTGGTTACTGCCTAAACTGTGATTGCATGTAGGCTCCACCTCAGAAATCAAGAATTCGCAAAGGGACATTGAAGGTTTGCGCTAGAGAGCTAGATTGAGAAGCACTTGCAACCTGGACAAAACTCCAAAAAATGTTGAGGGAAACAAGCTCGCTGTCAAACGACCAACTTGCCCAAACAATCGTTGACAAAAATCTAGAGCTAGTTGTTGAGCTCCTGTGTTCCTTTCCTCCTGAAATCGGCTGGTATTTCGCTGGACTTGCATTCGCGAAACAGCTATAATACATCAGCTTCTTCGCACTGTCTTCTGATGGCACTGCATTATAATTCTGCTTAATGAAGATTTTTTAGCCGTCTCAAAGAGCTAAGAAAAGAGATAAAATGAGCATCATTCAAATGCTCTCAATAGCAAGAAATAGTGAGGCTGCGCAGAGAAGGTGAATATGGTGTTAGATCTTGAGGATGATTCAGATAATAGGTTGACACATAAGTTGTGCAACTCATTTCGTAACTTTGCTTTTGATTAGATAGTACTCTACAAATGTACCTGAACGACTTGGTTTTAATAGGAAGGTAGAGAAGATTCTCGCATTTTTCGAAAGTTGGCCGAATTCACAGGGTCCGGAAAACAGAAACAAAGCCTTAGTCGGAAAAACGCATCAAGCCGAACCTGTACAGATTATTAGAGAATCACCTATCAACAATCTGGCTGGGTACA